AGAGACCCCAGCACCAATGGCCAAGATTAGGAAGTCCCGATAAAGATCAAGATGTATGGAAAATGCATTTTTTATTTCCTCAAAAGTCCAGCTTTTCTCAAACAAGCGCAATGTTAGTTCTGTCATAAATTAGGTTTCTTGTATGTGTGGGTCTGTTACTTGGTTCCCTCTCCTTTCCATTTGTCTTTTCCCCTCCCCCTGTACCAATACCTCATGGCCTAATTACTGGAGATAAAGAATAATTCTTAGTATCTTATGATCAGTTAAGTCTTCTCGCCTAATTTTGCTTCTTCAGGACTATCTTGGTTATTCTTACTCTTTCCGCTTCTATGCAAATATTATTGATAGAAACATATATTAGAAACAGATCAAGTTACACAACCACAAATCCAACAGAACACAACAACAACAACAACAAAACACACATCTCAACCACTTCTGTGTTTTGATTGGAGCGCGTCAAAGACATACATCACTGAGGTTTTTTAATGTCTTTTAATTAAGTTTCTAATTTTGTCCATAGAGGTCACCTACTTCCTCTCTTAGATTTATTCCTATGGACTTCACATTCTCAGGACACATTTCAATGATACTTGTAAAAGTAAACTTTTTAAACATTTGTTGTTAGTATAAAGAAATGCAATTTTAGAAACTGACCTTTAATTCAGTAATCTTGCTAAACTCTCTTATTAATGCAATGATTCATCTGTAAATTCTTTGGGTTTTCTGTATTGTCAGTCATGTTGTCTGCAAGTAATGACTGTTTTGGTTCTTCTTGTCCAATGCTGACATTTCCCCCCTTGCCTTTCTCTGCCCTCTGGTGCCTCCAGTACGATGTTCAGTGTAGGCGATGAGAGTGAGCCTTTCACTATTCCTAATCTTAAGGAAACACTGTTATAAGTTCGCATTATCAGGTTGAGTAAATTTCCTTCTATTTCTACCTTGCTAAGAGTTTTTATAATGGATACATGCTGAATTTTATGAAATGCTTTTTCTGCACCTTAGAGATAAGCCTATGACTTTTTTTCCTTTGATCTGTTAATGGATGGCTTTCATCTGTTGATTTTTTAAAGTGTTAAATGAACCTCACACTCCTAGAATAAACTCAATGTGGTCAAGATAGATAAGCTTTCATATGTTTTGCTGAATTTAGTTTGCTAATATGTTTTTAGGAATTTCTTTTTTTTTTTTCTGTAATAGTGATCTTGGGGTCTTCTTATTTATTTATTTTTATTTTATTTTTATTTTTGGCTGTACTGGGTCTCCGTTTCTGTGTGAGGGCTTTCTCTAGTTGTGGTAAGCGGGGGCCACTCTTCATCGTGGTGCGCGGGCCTCTCACTTTCACAGCCTCTCTTGTTGTGGAGCACAGGATCCAGATGCGCAGGCTCAGTAGTTGCGACTCATGGGCCTAGCTGCTCCACGGCATGTGGGATCCTCCCAGACCAGGGCTTGAACCCGTGTCCCCTGCATTAGCAGGCAGATTCTCAACCACTGAGCCATGAGGGAAGCCCTTTAGGAATTTCTTACATCTACATTCATGAAAAAAAAGATTGTCTGTAATTTAATTTTCGTATACTTCTGTGGTTGGATTCTGGTATCTGGTTTACACCAGCCTCATAAAATGAGTCTACGGCCTTTTCTCTGGAAGAGTCAATAAATTTAGGATTGTGTTTCTCTTGGATACTTGGTGTAGCTCTGGTGGTCTCTCTGTGGGAAGGTTTTAACTGTTGGTTCGGTTTCTATAATGGTTATAAGACCACTCAGATTTTCTGTTTTCCCTTTTTCCTTGGTATTGGTAAGTTACATTTTTAAGATTTTGCACATTTCATATAAATTTTTAACTTTATTGGTATAATGTTGCTCATAATGTCCTTGTATTGCCTTTTTAATATCTGCAGCATTTAAAGTTATGTTTTCTATTTTACTCCTAAATTACTTATTCATGTCTTTTCTCATGTGTTTCTTGATTACTTTTGCCTGAAGTTTTAAAATTGACCTTCTCAAAAGAACCAGTTTTAGACATTACTTTTCTCTCTATTGTATGTGCTTATTTTTCATTAATTTTTGCTTTTGCCTTTGTATACTCTTCTTTCCACCCTCTTTGGGTATATTTTATTGTTCTTTCAAGCCTGGTGCTCGGTTCATTAAATTATACTTTCTTGTTCCTAATATTAATATTTACTATTCTATCTCTATGTCAAATTAACATTTCATTACATTTTGATATATAGCCTTCTATTATCTTTCAGTTTTAAATGTTTTCTAATATTCATATGATTTCTTATTTGACAGGTGTTATTCAAAAGTACGTTGTTGAATTTACATGTTTGTTATTGATTTCTAACTTAATTACATTGTGGCCAGAGAATGTAGTTTGTAAGATACCAGAATACCAATCATTTAAAAGCAGTTGAAAAAATAAAATAAAATAAAATAAAAGCAGTTGAGACTTTTCTCTCTCTCTTTTTTTTGTCTCTTAATATGTGGACAATTTTTGTAAATATACCATGTGCACTTGAAGAAAATGTGCATTTCTCAACTGTTGAATGCTATGAATATTAATTGATTATCTACCTGTCAACTATCTATCATCTCCCTCCACCTACCTACCTAGTTACCTATAACTATCCATCTATCTGTCTATCTATCTCTAATCTATCTATCTATCTATCATCTATATTTATCATCTTCTATCTAATCTCTGTTATATCAAGATTGGTGTGTTTTTCAAATCTTTTATATCTCTGTTTTATTAAAAATTTTGTTGCTTATTTAATCTTGCTATTCCCCAAACAGTGTGTCAATATCTCCTAAAATATTGGGTTAGCCAAAAAGTTCGTTTGGGTTTTTCTGTAAGAATGAACATTTTGGCCAACCCAATAATCCTGGATTTGTCTATTTCTCCTCGCAGTTCTGTTATTGCTTTATATATTTTGAAACTGTATTTTCATATGCATTCAAGTTTATAAGTGCTGTAGTAGTTTTGGGGGGAATCAATATTTGCATGATTTATTTTTTACTGTTTTATCCTCTCTGTGTCAATATGTTTTAGACTTATTTCTTGTAAACGACATCTATTTACTTTTCTATTTTGACAATATGTTCTTTTAAATAGAGAATGTAATAAATTACATTTATTGTAGTTCTGATATAGGGTTGTGTTTTTTTTTTTTTTAACATGTGGCTTGTGGGATCTTAGTACCCTGACCAAGGATCGAATCTGTGCCCTCAGCAGTCCTAACCACTGGACCACCAGGGAAGTCCCTATATTTCTGATACAATTGAATTGGTTTCCAATAACCTACTTTGTACTTTCTGTCTGATCTTCTCTATGTTTATTTTTCTTGCTTTCTTTTGAATTGATTGAATATTTTTCTCACTTCATTTTTGCCTCTAATGTAGAATTTATACATTTTTTTCTGTTACTTTACTACTATTTGTGTTTAACTTACCAAAATCAAAAGTTAATTAATATTATTGTCATTTTCCTAAACAATACAAAACCCAAGTATATTTTAATTTTAACTCTCCTTTCTAAATATGGTGTTGATGTCCATTATTTCAGTTTTACTCTACTTCTAAGCACATAAGAGATTATTATTATTGTTTTGTAAATTTAGCTTTTGTTTAGATTTACTTATATATTTACCACATTTTTTGCTTATCATTTCATCTTGCATCTTACACTTCCCATTTGGATTTTCCTCTACCTGACGTATTTTAAAATTTCCTTTAATGAGAGTTTCCTGTTTGTCTGAAAATGTCTTTCTTTCTTTATATTCTTGAAAGGTAGTTTTGATAAGTATGTAACTCCAGGTTGACAGTTTTTTCTTTCTCATTTAAAATATTATTTCTTTTTTCAAATGGTTTCCTTCTTTTTTCTGTTGAGGAGGGGTTTTTTTGTCAAAATAATTCTTCATACTTTTAAATTTAATCTATGTTTTCTCTGTCATTGCTTCTGATTGTCTTCACTGTTAGCAATTTGACTACAATGTGCCTAGGTGTGGGTTCTTTGTATTTATCCTCCTTGGGTATCCTTGGTGTTCCTGTACTCTGAAGATCGGTGTCTTTTACTGATCCTGGAAAATTCCCACCTACCTATTGCCTCTTTCCATTTCTCTTCTCCCCTTTTAGAAATCTGATGATATGTACATTAGCTCTCCTTACTCAATCCTCCATTTATCTTGTCTCTTGACTTCTCTTTCTATCTTTTTGTTTCTATTTGTCACTTCCTGGATAATTTTTGCTCAGCACATTGTAGATAATTCATTGCCTTCTGACTTCCTTTGCTACTGTTAAGAAGTCAACCACTAGCCCAGTTGTTATCCCTTTGGAGGTAATCTCTCTTTTCTCTGATTTTTCTGTGGCTTTGCTAGGATATGTCAAAATGTGAACTTAATTTTGCTCGTGCTTCATGGTGCTCAGAGGGCCGGTGTTCTCCAAAGGTCTTGCTTTCTGAACTATGGGTCTCCCTTCCCAGGTGAATACCTTTACTTTCTCTTACCCAGCCAGAGCTATTTCCTAGCAAGCAAGCCAGTCCCTCTCTGAATCTCTGATTTTTTTCTGACGTCACAGAAATGTTTTCCTTGCTTTCTCCCTTTTGTGCTTTATCTCTTATTATCATATGTTTAGAATAGTTTATGCGTCTAAAGAGGGAAATTGTACCATCTCAACTGGAGCATTACTTCTAAAATTATCTATCTAAAAGCATATAAAAATGATATTAAAAATAAAATAAGGGGCTTCCCTGGTGGCATAGTGATTGAGAATCTGCCTGCTAATGCAGGGGACACAGGTTCGAGCCCTAGTCTGGGAGGATCCCACATGCCGCGGAGTAACTAGGCCCGTGAGCCACAACTACTGAGCCTGCACGTCTGGAGCCTGTGCTCGGCAACAAGAGGCCGCGATAGTGAGAGGCCCGCGCACTGCGATGAAGAGTGGCCCCCGCTTGCTGCAACTGGAGAAGCCCCTTGCACAGAAACGAAGATCCAACACAGCCAAAAATAAATAAATAAATAAATAAACTCCTACTCCCAACATCTAAAAAAAATAAATAAATAAAAAATAAAATAAAATAAAATAAATGACCTTTCCTATGCTTTGTGAGCTTGGGACCAGGATTTTCCTTGTCACGTAATCTGAGAAAGGGATGCAGGCTCATGTGCTGTAGGTGTTTTTGTGTTGGTGGGAGCTAAAGTATTAGGAGGTGAGTGTTAAGGAATTACCCAGGGAGATAAGGTGATATACCCAGGGAAGGTATTTGCATGCTGTTAACTCCTTTTCCAGAGATAGTGTATTCTTCTCAATTAGAGACTTTATAAAGTGGTGGGGATTTCCATCACTTTGGCCTGAGGAGGGGGATGATTCTATCTAGTCCATCTCCCCAAATCAGATTAGGCCCGTCCCTGCTCAGAATTCTCAAGCAAGTCCCATTGGTGGCAGAATGAAAAACACCCTTCATAGCTTGATACTCAAGGCTATTAGTGAGGTTTCTCCTTGCATTCTCCAGGACCCTGGGCATGCCAGACCCATTTATGTCTACTCACCCATCTCCATCTGAAATTTCTTTTTCTTAATTCAATTAACCAGTAACTCAGTAATTCCTACTTACCTTTTCAGACTGACAAGCAGAATTCTTCCTCCAAGAAGCTTTACTTGACCAACCCCTCTCTTCCTTTCTGCCCACCCCACGCTTTCTTTCCCTTTCCTTCTATTTTCTCCTCCTCATCCCACTGAACATGTAAGGAAGCATCCTGTGGTCCCCTCTCTCTATTTAGCAATATGTGTTGCTTTTGGGTTCCTTTTTATCAATGTCTCTGTCTGTGTGATCTGCTTGAGAGCAGACCTTTGTCTCTGTAGACCCAGTGCACACACAGGGCCAGGCACATAGGAGGTTCTCTGCACATGCTCTGTTACTTCTACCATGGTGGCAGGTGGCACTCTGCCCTCTCAGAGCCCCACAGGTCCTGCTTTGCCAAGGCCAAAGAACAAAGATCTCTGACTTGCCTCCTGGGCAACACCATCCCTCAGGGTTTCCCACTACCCTGAGAACTGAGTGTCTGCATCTAGGTAGGATGTTTCTGGAAGGCAGTGCCTTCCCCTCCTCCTTTGCCTCCTCCCATACAAACACCCCTGGGAAAGCAGGGAAACTGTAAAGGAAAAGATGTCTTATGGTATCTGAGAATGTACTTGCCTGGCCTCTGAGAGTTTACTTGGGAAGGCACTTACATCAGTCAGAATAAATACCAGCTCAGCAGATAGGAAGCCAGCTCAGCAGATAGGAAGGATGACGTGGCTGCCTTGGGGTGCAAATGAGTTCACTCACCTCATGTTAGACAGGGAAGGCCTCTGGGTACTCTTAGACCAATTCTCCTGCAAGCCCACAAACCCCAGCTTCCCAGAAACTCACTGGAGCTCTTCCATATCAGATCATCAGTTTCTAAAAAACCATGCAGTGCATGGGCTGAAGCCTGGGTTCCAATCCTGGCTCTGCCACATTATGCTATGCAATCTGGATGAGGTTCTTCATGTGTCTCTGTCTCAGTTTCCTCATCTATAAAGTGGAGAGAAAATAATAACACTTACCTCAAAGGATCCTTGTGAGCATTCAGTGAATGAATAGGTAATACCTAGTATGTAGGTATGTCGTCACTCACCTTCAGTGCATTGTGTTGTATCAGACAAGCCTTTATCCCATCTCTCTCGGTCTCCCCACCGAGGACTAGATCACTTTCGCCTGGTCTTGATTATAGTTTGGGTGATACTCATGTACTGTTTCTCTGCTTGGTTCTAAAGACCCCTCCTGGGTAGACAATCTTCACTGGGGGGATTCACACAGGGATTCACAGGGAGGACTCAGTGGGAGGGGTGGGCTGTAAAATACTCCGCATCTATGAAAATGCCACTTCTTGGATGAAGTTCATTTAACTTATGCTGCTTTTTTTTCTGATTATATATTTTTGGTAGAAGACTTAGAAAGTTTATGTCATAGGAGGGAAATATCCAAAAACAGTGATTCCTACTTATTACTGTTTGTGAAGAAGCTCTGCTTCAGAAGCCGAGGTCCTTGCAGAGCTCCGGGATGGAGGGAGATGCCTGGCGTGCAGACTCCCAGGGACCATATGGGCCTTGAAGTACTGCATGTGACCCCTTTGACAGCAGGTAGACAGCAAGTGGAGGGGTCCATCCTGAGGGCAAAGAGACAAGAGGTCACCGTGAAGATCCACATTCCAAAGGGAGAGGTGTCTCAGAAGAGCTTCCTTGAGTCCTTTGGAAACTTCTCTCATTGGTCTTAACCCTGAGCAGTTACTGTTAATGTGCAGGTGAGTTTTCCCATCTTTTCTGTGCCTTTTTAGTGTGCTTGTGTTTGCACTGGATATGTTGTGTATTTTAATGTTTTTCACGTAATGTTACAGCACGAACATTTCCCCAACTTATTAAACATTCTTTGCAACACCATATCATCACCGCAGAATATCTAATTGCAAGTCTGCATCATAATTATCTTAACATTCCCCTAATGATAAACACTTAAACTGTTCTATTTTTTCCTTACTGTAAATAGAGCTATTATGGACCTTTTTAAACTGAAATCTTGGCCTGTATTTCAGGGTATTTTCTCAGAACAGACTTTTAGAGGTAGAGTGTCTGGGACAAAGAATGTGAACGTTTACAAGATTCTTGGTGCACTGCCAAAGGCATTGCCAGAGAAGTGACGGGCAGGTCTGCACTCACCAGCGTGTGCCCATTGGATGCTTAGTGGCTTTGGGTAAGCTGCTTTTAGATAATCTCTGTCTTAATTAATAAGATAAAATGTGATATATATGCGTATATATGTAAACGTGTGTGTATATTATATATATATATATCTTTGATTAGTAATGCAGCTGCACATTTTTTCCCCCTTACAATCATTTTTTAATGGGAGGTGATTAATAGTGGGTAGAATAAACAAGTTAGAGAGCTTACTTCTCCTTCCCTGGGGGGTAGCTGCTGTTAGCTGCCAAGAATTTCAACTCAGCTTGGCTGTTTAAACTCTCCAGCTTGTTTTTTTTTTTTTTTTTCAGTCAAACTTGTCTGTAGGGGGAAAATCCCTCTGTATAGGCAACCAAAAATAACTTTGTGATGGCACATTTCAACAGGCTGTTGACAGGGGTGAAAAGACCTTCTCTTCATCCTGAGCATCTCCATGTCTCAGGGCACTGGCTCATTCTAACAGTTTCATGAAGAAGGGATGGTAGGACTCTTCATCCCCTTTTAACTAATGAGGAAATCAAGGCTCCAAAAGGGGAACCTCCTGAATCTGCCCCATGTCATCTCCCAGGAACCAGCTCCTCTTCTTCAGTTAGTAACAATCAACTGAAAGACCCAACGGGTCCCTTCCATTGTCAGACCATGGCTGGATGTAGAGTGCGGGGCAGGGTGGGGAAGCCCAGTCTGGCTTCAGTGGGAGAGTGTCATCCTCAACTGGCAATGTCTGCCAGGGACACAGGTGTGGGAGGACTTTCACAAGTACCCAGTGCCGCCTAGGTGCTCAGTACCACCCAGGTGCCCAGTAGCTGCCCAGGTGCCCAGGGCCGCCCAGGTGCTGGTATTTACAATATAGGTGGAGCCTGCCCCTCTGGTGTCTCTAGGATCCCATTTTTTCTTCTAGCAGAGAAATTAGAAGGTTGGACCTAAGTACCCCTATTGGTTTCTGTGACCTTATCTGGACCATGTCCGGTCATTTTGCCTGACTTCAGGCACAGCCTCTCTTCTGTATCCTAGTCCTATGTGGCCAGGATGGTGTTCTGAACTGAGAAGGGTGTAAGAGCTGAGCCTTTGCAAATTAATGAAATGAGAGACATCTCCCTTCTGTGCCCTCTTGTCTCCACCGTGCCCTCCACAAACATACCTCATCACCTTGTGCTGCTCTCCTGCCTCCAGGCTCTGGTGCCCTGAGTCCCCCACACAGGGAAGAGGGGATGTGTACAGCCTCGCTTTCCCGTTTCCCCCATGCCAGCAAGGATATGTGTGGCAGAGAGATTTGCAATGTTTCTTCCTAAAGAATAAAACTTGAATTATGGCATTTCTGACTTCCTTGGGGTTGAAAGTTTGGGTAGAAAGCCTTCTGTGGGCATCTCCAATGCTGTATAGACAGGCTTTAAGAGGTAGCCCTTCTGAATCCTTTGTTTTTATTTCCCCTCTGGGGTTCTAGCCAGGTATCTTTTGTCCCAGCGGAATTGCAAACATGTCTTTAGGAAGCTGAAGACCTTGTTTCTTTCTGTGCAGATTTTAGTGACAAAGGTGGATGAAGAGTCTTCATCCATAAACCCAATGCATATCTTTTGAATTTTTGTTCTGGGGTCCATAGTGTTCTGTACACGTGGCAACCTACAAAGCAATGCAGAGACAGGTAGATTCATAGTTGTGTCCAAAGAGGATTTTGCTTCCATCCTGAGGGATCTGTTATAATGTTCTTCTCCTTATTCAAGCCTCGACAATTTCTAGGCCATCTTTCTCCTCACAGTACACCTCTAATTCACCTCAACATTGGCCACCAAAGTGTTTTGCAAACCAGACCATATCCACACCCTGTTCCCTCCCATAAGTACCTCCGAGGGCTTTCCACCACCTTTGGGGCAATAACCAGACTCCATAGTACGGCAGCCAGGCCCCTCATTACCTGGTTCTTTGCAGTCTCTGGGTCCAGCTTCATCCCTGGTCACATCCACACATGCCTCAGGCTCCAAAAATAACAGCTCACTTGAAGTTTCTGGAACTCACCTCTATTTCTCTGTATCTTTCATATCTGCATTTGGCTGACTCCTTCAGAAGCAGGCTCAGAAGTCCCCCTTCAAGAATCCTTCTCTCAGGGACTTCCCTGGTGGTCCAGTGGTTAGGACTCTGAGCTTCCACTGCAGGGGGCATGGGTTCGATCCCTTTCGGGGAAGTAAGATCACGCAAGCTGCGTGGTGAGCCAAAAATAAAAAAGAATCCTTCTCTGACCTCCCACAGGCTTTTTATTTTCTAATTGAAGTATAGTTGATTTACAATGTCTTGTTAGTTTCAGGTGTATAGCGAAGTGATTTAGTTCTGTCTCTGTCTCTGTCTCCCTCTCTCTCTCTCTCTCTCTCTGTCTCTCTCTCTCTCTCTCTCTCTCTCTCTCTATATATATATATATATATATATATATATATTTTCTTTTTCAGATATTTTTCCCTTATAGGTTATTGCAAGATACTGAATATAGTTCCCTGTGCTATACAGTAGGTCCTTTTTATTTATCTATTTTATATATAGTAGTGTGTATATGTTAATCCCAATCTCCTAACTTATCCCATCCCCCCTTTCCCCTTTGGTAACCATAAATTTGTTTTCTAGGTCCGTGGGTCTATTTCTTTTGGTAGTCTTCCACTGTGGGCCCTTCACAACTTGACCCGATTCAACACGTTTCCTGTGGTGGTGGGTGTCCTCCAGAGCAGTGGAGTCCTGATAGCCTCAAAATCTCTGGCATTGTACCTGCAGCATAGTATAAACTCAGAGAACATTTGTGGAATGAATGAAGGTGTTTCACTCCCTGGATGGTGGGGCCTGGGTGCTCACCATCATTTTGTCCTAACATCTCCACTTGTCACCCTTAGAAAACAATATCTGACGAACAACAGCCGTGGACTAAATGGTCCTTCCCTAGATTGCAGTGTATTTGCCTCTGAGGCATCGAAGGGGCCCACAGAGTCCATTATCTTGACAGGGTGAACGCAGAACTCTTCCCTAAGTCCTTTTGAGGGAAAAAGAAGAATTCCAGCTAGTTGAAAAATAAGAGTTGGCTGAAGTGTTTGGCTCGAAGTTAGAGACGGGAAGGTCTGTATATCTTAAGCATCCTTGGAGATCTATCATGTTGGCAAGAGAGACCTCTCCATCATAGGACGACCTCAGAAATAGAAGCTGGCAAATTTCATCCAAGCTCATTGCCAGGGCTCTGCATTTATGAATTCAACCATGAACTAAGACTTCCCACCATGTCTGCCTCTATTTGTGATAGCAAAGCAGCAAAAACAATCACGCCCTCAGCCATCTCCCTCATACACTAACAAAGAGGGGCAGAAAAGTCTTCTACTTTAAACTCCCTCATGTGTCTCAAGAAGCAGAAGATGCTTTCTGGGAATCCCCTGGTGGTCTGGTGGTTGGGACTCCATCATGCTTTCACTGCTGTGACCCGGGTTTGATCCCTGGTTGGGGAACTAAGATCCCACCAGCCACGCAGCACGGCTGGGCGGGAAAGAAAAAGAAGCGGAAGTTGCTTTCTGATTTCTTGCTGAGAAGGCAGCAGTCCAGCGGTTATTTAGCTTGTTGCTAGGGGGTCATGGATGTGCACACTTATTCAACAGGTGTTTACTGAGCACCCTCAGTCCCAGGCACGGGGTTAGGCAGTGCTTACCATGTTGAGAGACAGTTCTCCATGGGTCTCTCTCATTCCTCACATCGTGTCAGTGAGGCACAGGCTGTCCTTTGTTCTGGACCATCTTTGCAAGGATGTTTGTGGAACAAGTGGTCTTGGAGGATTGAGACAGTGCTTCCCTCCAGAGTGGAGGGTGGGCATGCTTACTTCCCATTATAATGGACTCAACTTCTCCTAGCCCAGCACTTGCTTCCAGAACTTAACCCACTCATGTGGACACGCAGCCATCTGGGACCATTCACATTGCCATGTGGGATTTGGGGACAAAGAGAACTGATGAAAAGATGCTGGTATTCATGTCCCGGTTGTGCCATGAGTGATGAAGCCCTCGGTCTCTGAACAAGGACTCCTGTGCCTTCTGTCCACACCCCTGGAAGTGTTACAGAATGACCTGTTAGCTCGAAAGCAGGTAAAATCTCAGTGCTTTCACCGTTCCCGACAACCTTATTGCCATATTGAATTTTATATTCAAAACACTGTAAAATTAAAATATTTTTATCTTCACTTTGTTCTTTCGAACTGAAACCGAGAAGTTAAGTAACTCTTCCTGGGTCGCAGAGCTAGTTTGTGTCACAGGGGAGATTTCTGTTCAACTCTCTCTGATTCCAGAACCACTCTCTCTCCATAACAAGCGGAGCTGTTACACTGAAAACACTAAAGTGCCTGTAGGTTCATTGTGGCCGTGGGCCAGTTAAAATCCTCTTGGTCCCTTAAAGCATCCCTGTTGCCATGATGATAAAAAATACTCAGGGAGGAACGGCAAACAGTTGAGCAGCCTCTCCTCCAAGGGAACATAAACAAGATAAAATCATCATGAGTTCCTTCCATTGCAGAAAAAGTTCTCCTCTAATATTTACATAACAATTGGCTCGAAGCCCTGACCTACTGCCCTTTCTTCTGGTGAGAGGATGAGGTCCATTTCCCACCCAGCGGGATGGGTTGAGTCATGTGAAATTCAGACTAAACAACAGCGTAGCTGGAGTGAAGGGTGTGCTCAGGGTGACGGATGTCTCGGACCCTGGGCCACGTCCAGACCTTGATATGCCCTTAGAACCCTTGTACATTTCCACGGTGCATTGCCACATCCTTATGATGGAGACTGACCTGTTCCTTCAGTGGCTCCTTGTTGCCCATGGGACAAAGGCCACGGTCCATCTCTGGTCTACAGTGCAACTGACTCAAGCCTTGCTTTCCCTCTGAAGCCTTTCCTAAGTCCATGCCATCCCCCAAGTGGAACTGGCCCCTCCTCACTTGGTGTCCACATTATCTATATCATTTCTCTTACAGCATCTGTATCTTTCATCTCTGCATTTGGCTGACTCCTTCAGAAGCAGGCTCAGAAGTCCTCCATGTACACTTATGTGCTTATCTCCTCCACAAAGCCACGCACCCTTAGAGTCAGGGCCTGTTATATTCAGCTACGTCACCCTCACACTTAGATAGGTACCTGTTTGTGGGTTGCAGCTATACACTCTGACACATACAGATATATATGATCCATCTGTTTCTGGGTCTGAAATGTCATCATGAAATATGCTTATTTTTGAATTGAATACTTTTTAAAAGCACAGATCACCCAATAAGGGCGTGTATGAATGACATGATGTCATCTAGCTGGTCATTTTCCTCTTGATAAGAGTGACCTGGGTGGCAAACTTCGGGGGTGCCTGAGGTGTGGGTGAGGTATGATGGACCTGAAAACACTTACTGTCTCTGTCTTGCTAATCGTCCTGCCCAGGGCCAGCTCCCATGGCTCTGAGCTGCTTCTGTCCTTGGCCAGTCCTCAGTGGGAATGGGGATGCTGGCACGGGATCCCAGGCCGTGGCTGGCCGGGCCTGCTGGACGGCAGACAGCTGGCCTGGGTGCCCTGGCCCCGTGGCATCCCTGAGTCCTGCTGCCGCCTGCTCTGCTCCCAGGAAGAACTCCCGCTGATTCACCTCAGCCTGTGGAGGGCAGGAGGCTCCCTTCCCCAGTCTACTGGCCAGACAGGCCTGCGTTCAGATGCTCCCTTGGCCTTTAGAAGCTGTGTGACCTCCAGCAAGTCCTTCCATCTTTCTGAGCCTCAGCTTCTACAGGTCTAAAAGGAGGATGAGGCGGTCCTCCTGTGAGGTTATGGTGAGGATGGCAGAGGACCATGTGCAAAGAAGCTGGGGTTCACATAAGAGTGTCCCCTCTTCTTCCAGCCCTCCTCCCTTCTATCCCCCCTCTCTTCCTTCCCCCTCCACTTCCCTCCTTCTTCCTGAACAGCCCTTGGAGACTCGGGGTGTGCATTCTTGCTCTTATTTGTCCTGATTACCATCTGTTGCAGGCCCGCTGCATGGAAGCTCCAGTGCATTGTTGGGGGATGGATCAGAGATAAAGTAAGCATTCTCCCTGCCCAGTGGGAACATTATTTATTTGCACATCTGTGTGTACTGGTTGCTGCGTGCACGTGTCCGTGTCCATGCTCTCACTAAGTTGCTCTGCTCCTTGGTATGGCAGCCTCACCTATGCAGTCAGCCTGTGACCTCTCCCTCCTGGGTGGCGTCTGCACTGAGCCTCCTCGGCCAACCCAGCCTTGCAGCTTCCATGTCACTGAAACAGGAGGGAAGGGGGCAGGGCACAACCTCTAAAAGAATGACATAGCCCTTGAGGACACGACATAAACTGGTTAGAACCAATTAGGTCCAAGATGGCCGAAGATTTGACTTCCAGTGGACCTTGAGACTCATTTTATGCTCATTGTAATACATTAGCTAAATGACACACCCACAGGAGCCATGACAGTTCTGATGCCAACCATAAAGGGCCAAAAAGTGGGTGGTGGCCCATTTCCTGAAAATCTCCGCCCCTTCTCCAAAATAGTTGGAATAATCCTCCCACTCATTAGCCTATGAAATTACCCAGCCCATAAAAACTAACCCCCCCATATTTGGGGGCCTCTCGCCTTCTGAGATAGACTGCACTCTGTCCGTGGAGTGTGTTTCTTCCAAGGCTGTTCTCGCCCTTTGAGATGAATCACATTCTGTATGCGGAATGTATTTCTCTCTAAATAAATCTACGTCTTACTTATCATTTTGTTTCTCACTGAATTCTTTCTGTGATGAGACATAAAGAACCTGAGCTTCCTGAAGTCCTGAGACCGGGTGTGTGATTTCAATTAAAAGACAGTGGGTGTAAGTCCCAATCTGAGCTGTGCAGTTTCATCACTGCTGCATCTTATTCTGGCTGGGCCTGGGACCCGGTGGGCTGGGGAGCAGGCTGTGCTTCCATAAAGTTTTCCAGGACACTGGGTAGGCCAGGGGGATGAGGCTGAGGGGAGGGGAGGGAAGAAGTGAGGTGCCAGGGAGCCCAGCTTCTGTGGGCCAGTTCTCAGTACAGTCAGTACAGCCAGTACAGTCGGACCTGGGGCTGTGGAGGGAGGGAGGGAGGGAGAGGTGACCAGTATTCCTCTTCCCACACAGGTACCAGCCCTCAGGGAGGCCCAGGGGCTCATCCTCTCCCTGGAGTCTTTTTAAAGGAAGGCACTTCTGAAACTGAGCAGGACCCTGTGGGGCTCCTGGGCATGAAAGCCTTTCTGTGTCCCCCATTTCTTGTTGGTAGGGAATAGACTCCAGCTTCCATGACCTTCCCTGAATTCCAAAGGGCATTTTCAAACAGTTGCTAATCAGGGAAGGGAGGGGATGCAGAGACAAGGGAGGAGCAGGCAAGAAACAACAGTGCAGCCTTGGGGCAGGGTCCTGGTTCTCTCATGGGATACACACAACAATATCTTTGAGCTGTTCTGCAGAACTAAAACCCCCAACAAATGGAAGATGCTAACAACTTGATGAAGCATTCTTCATTCCAGAGAGCAGGTCACAGTTTGATATCCTCGAGAACCACAGAAGCTCATCAGGAGACCACCTGAGGCCAGATTAAAGGAGCGCAGGCCCTGCACACACCCTGATCCTGATCAGCAACCCTGGCCTTGAACCATTGCTGTAAAACTCCTCACCAAATCCTGCCCACCCCCCACCCCCCAGGTTGGGGCACACAATATTTGAGGGCATGAGCCCTCTGTGTCCCCCTCTGCCTGGCAAAGCAATACAGCTATTCTTTTCTACTTCACCCAAAACTCTGTCTCCGAGATTTGATATGGCACCGGTGTACAGAGGCTGAGTTTCCAGCATCACTTCTGTGTGTGGGCTCTGGGTGCTCCCTCTGTGCCCACTGGACAGTAATCTGTGTTCAAACTCCTTGAAGATGAGGCCATGTGCCCACGTATTCTCAAAAACCTAAAGTGACGTCACAACAGAAAGGAATGTTAGAAGTCATTTAGTGTTTCCTAAATGTGGGGAACTCTTGGCTCACAGCTTGCAACAGGTATTCTGGGAAGAAATGGAGTCTTGGCCAAATACGTTTCGGTAGCGCTGTCTGACTCTCCCTGCCTTGCCATACACACACTGGGATACCGGAGACGCTGAGGAGACTTGGCATTAGTTTAACTTCCCTTAATAGGCCACTTTCCAAACTTATTTGCACATGGAACACCATTTTGGTTTGGGCTGTTTATCGCCACTTTGCCAAGCTGGTGTTCTATAGCATTTTGGGACATGGATACAGCCAAACCTTTTATTTTATAGATGAGAAAGCGGAGGGCCAGTGAGCTTGGTCCTCTCACCCCCACCCCAGGGAAAGGCCTCAGCTTCTGAACATGTCTCTTCCATCTCTGCTTCTTTCCTTCCCTCTGCTTCTCTCCCTGTGACTTCCAGCTCCCTTAGTTGGCAGCCATCCCTGTCTGAGCTTGGATCCCATTAGTTCTCTAAGGAGAGTCATAGGAGACCTTTTTGCTGACTCCTTGTATAGATGGCTCCGCCTCAAGAAACCTGAGCCCTGAGAAGTTCCTGGCCACCTGGGCTGCAGTCTTTAATCTTGGAACTGCTGGTCTCCAGGTGAGGGATCGCTGAGCTGCTGGGAGTCTTAGAAAGACTCTCATGCAAGAGGATGGTTAGTAAGTTCACTTTAACTCACGGTTATTCCTGAGGAAGTGTTTAAATATGACGCACTGAGGAAATTTCATTGACTGATAACATACCCACTATACATCCAACACCAGTTATTGACATCCGAAGACAATTAGTGCGGAGCACACGACACATTTTCTCCTGCCATCAACACTGGGAGTTGGCCAGGGAGGTCAAGCGAGTTGCCCAAGATTCCAGGACCAGGACAGGGGGAGCCAGGGCCCAAGCCCAGGGAGCAGGGCCCTGCAGTCTACACTCCAGCCTCTGGGAGCCATTATCACTAATGTTAGCATGGGAAGGATGGGGTGATGCTGTGATTCATAAGAAATATATATTTGCTCATTCAGATGACCAAAATATGTTTCTCATATATATTTATTTGGTCTTTGTACACTGTTCCTGGCTCATAGCTTCCAAAACCCTTGGAATTTCCTAAGGGCTGAGAGTGATAAATGTGTCTTCTGTTATTTGAATGAGGTGATTTTTGGAAGCCCCTAAGGGTGGGGGGCTGGTTGTCAGGGGAACCAACCACCTGACTAGAGGTTTGTAACTTTCAGTCTCGCCCCCTTGACTTCCAGGCGGGAGTAGGGCTGGAGGTTGATGGTCAATCATCATTGACCAGTGATTTAGTTAATTATGATTATGTAATGAAGCCTCCATAAAAACCCAAAAGGACAGCTTTTTGGCCCTTCTTCAGAGAGCTTCTTGTTGGGGGAGCCAGAATGCTTCTGTGCCACTGTGCTGGGGCCCTGTTCAGGACCTCACCCTACGCTATTGCTTTACCTGGTTGTAGATTCATAACCTTTAATAGCCTTACATATATATATATATATATATTATAGTTGATTTAAAATGTTGTGTTAATTTCTGTTGTACAGCAAAGTGACTCAGTTACACACATATATTCTTTTCCTCAGTTACACACACATGCTTTTCTGTATGCTTTTATGTTATGGTTTATTGCAGGATACTGAATATAGTTCCCTGTGCTATACAGTAGGACCTTGTTGTTTACGCATTGTATACGTAATAGTTTGCAGTTTGGGGTTCAATAACTTTTGATAATAAATCGGTAATCTGTGAGTAAACTGGTTTTTCTGAGTTCTGCAAGCCCTTCTAGCAAATCAATCGAACCTCTGGAGGGGGTCATTGGAACCTCCAGTTTGTAGCTGGTGGGTCTGTCACTGACATCTGTGGTGAGGGTGATCCTGTAGGACTGAGCCCTCTGGAATCTGATTCTGTCTCCAGGGAGACAGTGTCAGCATTGAGTTGAACTGCTTGTTGCTGTAGGGAAGCCTCCTCTGCACGTTAGAATTGGGCTTGGGAACCCTTTTCCGATGGGATTCACTTGTATTTTTAGCAGGTCCATTCCTTCTAATACCAGGCATTCGGGAACCAATGCTTCAGCTAGTGCCCTGGGGGCTGGGGCAACCTATTTCTAGAGGGACACTGCACTCGAGCATCTGTTTCCTGAAGCTGTGCCCAGGTGGGGAAGACGCATGCTGGTCACTGGGCCCTCCCTCTCTCCCTCCCTGGTGGGGGCCAGGAGCCATCTGTACAGACTGTGTTCTCTGACAGCCGCCCCGTGGAGCCTGAAGTGGCCGTCCCAGTATCAGCGGGCAGAGTCGATGAGAGAACACAAAACTGCATGGATAACAGGTAAGCCCTGGGCAGCCTTTATCTTTCCCTAAACAATCACAGTCATGTTATTTGACTCTGAATGCTCCATTACGTTTCAGATTTATTTCCAATCATTGAGAGCTGCATCCATGGGAGACAAAGGTGCCTTTGAGCTCCGGCACCTGCTGTTCCCCCCAGATGTCAAGGGCTGACGTTTGATGTCTTTATCCGCAGTCGGCGTGATGATGACTCACTCCTTGCTTCCCACTCCTAGGCCCACAGCCCCTTTCACACCCAGCAAGGACTTCCATGCCCCACACGCAGGTGGCAACGTGCGCGGCCCAGGGGGAGCCGACCTCCTCCCTCTCTTGCCTCTGGCAGAGCCTGCCTGGGTCCCTGGGAGAGGCCTCTGCAGCTGGGTTCCTCCTTCGCTCCCTCCCCCACTGGGCGGCACCCAGTGTCCCAGGCGAGGTGCGTGTCTTGGGGTGCGGGGGGCGCTCGCGGGCTGCCTGGTGCTGCAGGTAGGGGGGTGGGCTTTCTCTCCTGGACGGGGAGGCGTTGGCGGGAGGTGAGTACTGGTAAAGTCCTTCAGATGAAGTACTCCTTTCCGCTGCTGTCACCGTTGTCCTGGAGGGACGGGTCGTCCTGCAGGGCCGCGTCAGCGCTCTCGGCAAACTCCGTGCCCTTGGCCTCGTTGGTGTGGTACGTGCCCTTGTGCCGGTACATGTAGTGCAGCATGAGAAAGAGGAGGCAGACCAGCACGAAGGCCACGGCCGCGATCACGCCTGCAGGAGCGGAAGCACAGGGCTCTGTGTCGGGGGGGAGAGGCCGGGCTGGGATGGGGGAGGACGCAGGCCGGACCCACAGGATTGTGCTGGGACAGACATGCTGCCGGCCAGACACCAAGCCCAGACAGGCTGGCTCCTTCCTGCCTCTCTCTTGCCCTGCCCAGGGCACTTGCCCCTCCCCTGTGCCCATCTAAGCTACCCCTGACCTCCCCTCTCCCTCCGTGCAGCATCCTCAGACTGAGGCTGGAATCTTATCCCAGAACTGACCCTGCTCCGAGGCGCTCCCCGTCTGCTGAGGGAGGCAGACCTAAGTGCACCATCCACGGAACGCAGCTCGCGGGTTTGCCTAAAACTGATAGGTTCACGGGACTTGGAACTTTCAAGGATTCTTTCTTTTTTTTAGAGATAAGTTTAATTCAAGAATTAGGTATTTTATATATAGCTATTAAAAAGGTGGAAAAATTATTTTATAAAGACACAATCATTTTTTAAAACCTGGCAAATACAGAGAAACACAAATGGACGTTAACATGTCCTTAATCCTTCGGCTCAGAAATCACCGCAGTTAACAATTTGATATCTTTCCCTCCAAAGAAGCATTCATGTTTAATCGAAGTTCTCCTTCAATCTTCAAATGAATGGCCCTCTCTAAACCTTTGTAACACTTTAGTATTTAGAACTTGTAATCATTTTCAAACTCTTCTTACTGGAGTCCCTCTGGCCGATTTACGATTCTCCAAACACTTTTTATTTGACCAATTTTCCATGTCTTTGCACATGTTCTCTCTGCTGAAAATATTTTCCCCTCCCCTTGTCTTCCTGGTAAACTTGGATGCTGCCTTCAGAATCCAGCCTCTCCCACCTCCTCTAAGAAGACGCCTTTGCCTTACTCTCCTGGCCCTGCAGAGCAAATCACTCCATCCCTTAGCATTTCTGCTGTACTTTGTAAATCTGATAACTCTGAGTTTTAGAAGCAGGACAATCCCAGCTGAGGGGGTTCCTGGGCATGGGATTGAAGTGCGAAAACCAGGAAAGTGCCAGGAGTGGGCGAGGGCGGGGGCGAGGGCTGCCCCTGGAGAAGTGTGGTGTGTGTGTGCCCCTTAGCCCACAGCTCCCCTGTGCTCCTGGGAGGTGGGGTCTGCAGGAGGGGCTGGGAGGTGTGGCTAGAGGGCTGGTCAGAAGGAAGAGGTCGCTCAGGCCTTTGGAGTGATGGGGTGAGAGGGTAGGACCAAAGAGTTTGGGTAGGACTAACGGGTGGCGCTCTCACGTGGGGAGGTTCAAGTGCAGGTGTTTGCTTTGAAACCCCAGAACAAACCCTCTGCCTTGACTTAGAAGGTGGGTTTACTGGGGGAGGGCCCTTTGGAGAATATGTAGAGGCTACAACCGTTCCCAAGTCCCAGCTTTGTGGGACAATTTCCTCAGCTCCCCGTGGCCTTTAGGGGACACTTCTCTCTGCATGATGTTAACGGCATTGTCTAAGAAAAAGAAGGTCCAGCCATTCAGTGAGTAGAAGAACATCAGGGTGATTGCCTGCTTTTATTTATTTATGTCGAAACGTGAAGTTCCCTGAGCTAGGAATGAGCTAGGGAGAAGTGTGAAGCTCAGGGCACCACAAGCTATAGCTCACAGACTTAGTCTGTCCTGAAACACAGTTTGGGTCACAGCTGTGACCAGTGGGGGCCAGTATGGGTTTCAGAGCAAGGCTAGGGCAGGGTTAGGATGGTGAGACAGGGGCGTTAGACCTACGACAAGAAGCAGTGTGGCTTGAGGGAGCCGGGAGAGAAGTCAGGGAACCCTGGTCAGCCCCCAACCCCACCCCTCCCTCACCAGAGCGGCTCTCCCTCCAGCCCCGCTTCCCTGTGTATCTAGGGCCCTGACAGGCCCTGATGCAGGTGCCTTGGCACCTCACCCACCAGGATGCTGTGTTGGACATTTTCTTACAGAGCCAGAGTCCCCCGGTCCACCTTCAAACCACCTTTGAGGGAAGGAAAGCAGGGCCATGGCAGGTCCTGCCCTTAGTGTTTCCTCTGACCCTCCTGGCTGTTTGAGGGGCCCCCGGACAGCGTACCTGCAATGACGGCGATGTCCATCTCCCTCGAGGCCATTCCGTGGTCGGGGTCTGTGGACAGAACGGAAGAGCCTGAGGTAAGAAAGGACGGCTGCCCATGCCCTGCAGTGTCTCAGCCGAGCTTGCACCCTCTGCTCACAGGTGCACTGGCCCAGGGTGCATGGGAAGCTGCGTGGCACGCAGACAGGCCTCTGGCCAGGGGCGCACAGGGCCGGGCCCAGGCTCTCCATGTCTGCTGACGGTTACTGGAGAGCATCGTGTCGCTCCCAGGGCTATCAGACACCATTATGGCATCTCCAGGACTGAGCCAGCCATATGTGAGGGACCTCTGCTGCATCCCTGCTGCATCCCTGACCCAGAGCCCTGCCTGCACCTGCAGGTGCTCACCAGACACCTGCGGGGGTGTGAGGGCAGGCACGACTGTGTTTAGTGCAGTGTCACCTGCCTCTTCAGGCCTCAGCTTTTCTCATGATGATGGTAAAAACAGACCACCTGTGGGGTGTCTACACATGTCAGGTGTTGGTTTAGTTGCCATCCATCTAGTATACCAGGTACATGGTATTATTAACCCATTTCACAGGTGGGACACTGAGGCTCAGAGACTGATGTGCCCACCGTCACACAGCTGGTCTGGTGGGCGAGCTTGAGGCCGGGACTTAAGGCTGTGCTCTCTGGGGGGCACTTTCTCTCTTCTCACTTGAAGACGCCCCTCCCAGGAGGGCTCCTATCCAGAGATCTCTCCCTAAGACCCTCCACAGGCCTCTGCATCCTTCTTTTGAGGGTAGGGACACTCGGTGGTGCTATCCAAGTTACTAAGTGCATTTTTCAGAAGCTCAGTGGTCTAGCCAGAAGGCTACGATGTCCAGGAGAGCAGGAACCTCTCCTCTGGGATATGTGTGAAAGGAAGGATTTATTAGAGAACGGAAATATCAGTGTTCACATGGAAATCCCATGTTCCCATTACAAGGGCTCCACATATTAAAACAGAGAAGGCTGCTTCGTAATAGTCATTTCCGCTCAGATAATCACTTTAATTGTAGTGTGATGAGGTCATTCTCCCCAGCGCAGCTGCCAGATGCCCCTTTCTGATAAGAATCTGGCTGGTGGTGGAGGGAAGTGGGGGCTCCAGGCTTGAGACCCAGAGGAGGAGAGCCAGGCTGGGGGCTCTGAGGCCAGCACAGAGCCTAGAGGTGGCGGAGAGGAGAAAACAAGGCCTCAAGTCAGCAAAGAGACAGAGCAGGTATCAGGGCAGGGGGAGGGAAGTACAGACAGGAGAAGGTCAAATGGATGCTGGACTTTGCAATCCAGGGTGGTCAAGTGCAGCCTGGGACTTAGTATCTAGCACACAGTAGGTACTCTAAACATTTACTGAATGCAGGATCGAGGGGATAAATGCACACAATAAATGAATGCATGCAGAGGCCAGAGTTCTAGAGCTTACTCCATCACTATGCACCTCCCATTTCAGCAAGAAAGAATAGCCCCTTCCTTAAGTTGGCATGGATGGTTGTAGAAGCTCAAATACCCAGGATTGCTGTTAGGAATTTTCCAGGTGAAAGTAAGCCTTTCTTAAGTCAGTTTGTCCAAGGCAGCCAGGATTAGAAAGGACGGCTATTCTTTTTTTTTTTTTTTTTTTTTGCGGTATGCGGGCCTCTCACTGTTGTGGCCTCTCCCGTTGTGGAGCGACGTGCAGGCTCAGCGGCCATGGCTGACGGGCTTAGCCGCTCCGCGGCATGTGGGATCTTCCCGGACCGGGGCACGAACCCATATCCCCTGCATCGGCAGGCGGACTCTCAACCACTGCGCCACCAGGGAAGCCCTGCTATTTCTTCTTTTAAAAACAATTAGCAATTGCTTACCATGTGCCAGGTACTGTTCTTAGCACTTAATGTGTTTTAACTCAAATAGTCCCTATGACAATGCCATTCAGTAGCAGTTATTATTGTCCCCTTTTTACAGATTTGGAAGCTGAGTTCCAGAAAAGTGTAATTGATTTCCCTGGGTCAGAATCTCTCCTGTTTGAGCCTGAGCAGCCTCAAGATGACATGCCTAACCCTGCAGGGCCCTGCTCAGTGGTGAGCCCGGGTGAGCTGGGTGAGGACCAGAGGTATTTGGCTTGGATCACTTGGGGTGAATTTCTTGGCTTGGGAGTAGGGACCAGAGCTGAATTTGTTCAAGTTGCACCATGTGACCGGACTCCAGGGTAGTGACACTTCAGCCTGGCCAGACCTGCCACCTAGGTCAGAACTGGCACAGAGGAGGAAGCTTGGGCATGTCTGGGAAGGTGGGGATGGTATAAGACAGTGGATGTCAAAGTGTGGTCTCTGGAACAGCAGCATTTCCTGGGAGCCTGTTAGAAATGCACATTCCTGGGCTCCACCCCAGACCTACTGTACCAGAAGTGCTGGGGCTGGGGCCCAGTAATCTGTGGTAACAGGCCTGCAGGTGATTCTGATGCACGCTCAGGGTTGAGAACTGCTGGTGTAAGAGAAGGCTTTATCAGGATGGGTAAGAGAGGGTTTATCAGGATGGGCCCTTGAAGGATGCATAGGAGTTTGTGGCACAAACAAGAGTATAAGCATTGGGCTTCCCTGGTGGCGCAGTGGTTGAGAGTCCGCCTGCCGATGCAGGGGACACAGGTTTGTGCCCCGGTCCGGGAAGATCCCACATGCCGCGGAGTGGCTGGGCCCGTGAGCCATGGCCTCTGAGCCTGCGCATCCAGAGCCTGTGCTCCGCAGTGGGAGAGGCCACAACAGTGAGAGGCCCGCGTACCACAAAAAAAAAAAAAAAAAGAGTATAAGTATTTCAGGCAGAGAGCTTAGCCCCTACAACAATCCCTCACCTCTCTCTAGTTCTCAGTTTTCTCCCCAAATGACTGCTTGCCATCCATGGCACCTAGGGTCCTGAAACTTGGGCTTTCATCTCTTGCTTCTGGAGATGCTGCAGTGAGAGTCCTCACTGGCTACACCACCTCATGCTGTTTCAGCCAGCATCAATGATATGGGATATTTGCAGAAGGCTAGTTGGAGTGAGCTCGAATCCCTCCCAGGAAGTTGATGGGTCACTGTGCGATTGGATTACGAGCCTGGAATGAGAGTCCACCCCTTGCTGAGTTTCAAGGGTAAGTAGGAGCTTGGGATTAGAATCACTCCGAGCTCAGGAACTGGGATGGGGGCCGATGAGCAGCTTGAGGCGGGTGGATTTTATGGCAAAGAAAGGTGTTATTTATGGCCAAGTGTGCATCTGAGATGAGAACAGACAGCGGTCTACTCCTGAGATTGGACAAGCATGAATGGCCTCCACCCTTTTTGTAGAGACCCAAAGTGCCCTGCACGTTTCCGTCCTAGCTCTCCTCAAGATCGCAACGCCCCCCGCCAGAGAGAAAGCTCTTCGAGTCCCAGGACCGCATCTGTCTTACTCACAGTCCTGCGTGGCTGGCACGGAGTAACAGTTGTTGAGAGTTATTTGAAAGCCTAGTCCTATCTGGGGAACAGAGGATGAAACTGCGCCCTGCACTGTCCACATCACTCTGATGACCCCTGGGTTCAAATCCTGTGGCTTGACTGACTTAACGGCAGCACATGCGGTAAAATTCTTAATACAGACTGGCTTTAGTTTCTGTGTGTGTAAACAGGGATAACAAACCCACTTTGTGGTAAGTGTTAGAAATGATACACACACATGTGATAAATGCTGTCTATATGTTATATAGACAGTTACTATGTGGTACGTAGCTCAGAATAGGTGTTTTTCAGTTGTGGCCACTGTTTTGATTGTGAGTCTTATTATTACTCTGGTTTGCATGGAATTCAATGCCGTTCACCTAAGGGACCAGTTCCCAGATGCCGTGGGTCCAGGCAGACGCTGGATGCTGGTCGTGAATTCCCAGCATCGTCCGGCTGACAGTCAGACAGCACCGGATGCTCAGTGTCTCTCTTTCCCGTAACACTGCAGGGACCAGGAGAGCTTCCAAGAAACAAAAAGTGAGTCTCTGACCTCAGGGTGCTTACAGTTTCCCTGGGTGGTGTGATTGTGATGGATGAATTATTTAGGGCAGTGTCTGTCACACAGGAAGCCCCAAGTCACTGGTGGGTGACAACCAGCTAGAGAGAGAAAGAGGCAAAGAGAGAAAAAGGGAAGGAGAAATAAAGAAAGAAACCAAAACAGGAAAAGAGAGAGGAGACAGAGAAAATAGCTTAGAAACCACCAGGTCCATCATCGGTAGTCGGGATACTGTTTAGGGAGCTCTGATTTCTTTTGTGCACACACACCACAAGCATGCGGATCTGAGTCACAGTGTAAAGGGGGTTTCCTACCGAGGGCGGCATTTACCACGATTTTTGGAGACTGTGATTTAGACAACAACACGACAAGAGGGAATACACAAAACCCTTTGTGTCCTACAGTGTCAGGTTCAAGGGTAGCCCGTCTACGAGATCAAGCAAGGAGCAGGCAGATGGAGAACAAAGCACGGCCTCATACCAGTGAAAGCTGATGTAGGTGATGGCGGCCGAATGGCCAAACAGCCTGATACCTCTGGGCTTCTGAACACCCCCGTGTGGCCACCCAGCTGCAGGCCTTGCCACAAGGCCAGGGCCAAGGGCAGGGACAACAGATGTTTCCCGTAGCTGTGGATCCAGAGAGGGAGAGGAAGGGAAGGGCTGTTCCTGCCCCCAACTCACATGCAGGGAAGTCACCACCTCCCATGGAGGCATGGTGGGGAGTGAGGGCAGGGATCGGGGGGGGGAGGCTGATGCTTTCCTAGAGGCCTTGGGAAATTTCAGGGGTGGGAAGAATGTTCCAGGACTAGGGAAGTTCTGACACAAGTCCTGGGGGCTCAGCCTCAGTGGGGGAAGCAGGGGGAGGACTTACTAGGCAGCAGGCTCTGGATGAAGTAAGTTGCCACTTACATTCCTCACAGCAAGCGAGCCAGAGGGAAGTGGTTATCTCCAAAGAGCTTGAGCAAGTGGTCGACATCTCACAGCCCAAAGAGGCAGAGTCTGTGTTGTAACCTGGGATCCCCGGCTCTAAAATGTGTGCTCTCTCCAGAGTGCAAGCTGCCATGGTTGGGAATGGCTTCTCTCCTGTGCCATCTGCAACGCGGCAGCAGCCAGAGCCCTGCTGACTCTCTAGGTTTGCAGGGTGGTCCGCTGCGTGTTTCCTGGTCAAAGGCAGCACCCCTGGGAGGTAGCAGGGTGCAGAGGTGCTGCCCCTCCATGCAGGCGACAATCTCTGCTCCAGCTGGCAGCTTGGGCACCGCTAACAGGATGCAGCACTTTAGCAGCAGCTGGATCCTCGGGGCTCCAGCGGTGCTTCTCAGATGTCAACAGAGAGCAGTGCTCAGGCACTGGCTCCAGGGACACAAGTTGACCCTCCTGTTGCCACCAAGAGCCTTGCTTCTCTTGTGTTTTCTGATGAAGCTGTGCAGGGAACTTCTTTTTCCTGCAAGGGTTTGTCTTCAGCACCTCCTGACCCACCTCTAATGGTTTTTCCTATTGCCTCAGGGGTCCTGGAAGAAGCACCCCATTCCTGTTTCCCATCTCCCACCTGGTCCAGCCAAGAGGAAGAATTCAGGCACGGGGCAGAAGACTCTGGGAAGAGTAAGATTATTTAAGCCTTAGTAGCACAAAGGGAAACGCTTGTTGACCAAAAGGTTTGTCATCAAGTCCTTGAAGAATTCATGCCATGACAACGGTGTCAATGCCAGCAATTAGCAGACGTGGCAACCACATCTCTTGCTTGATGGTTTGCTCTGTGCTACTTACACTGAGAGCCTTCTTTTTCAGGGGGCTTAGTGGGTGGCGGCTTTGCGTGAGGCTGACTTGGGTTCAGAGGAAGGACAGGAACGTTTGTGGCCCTAGATAGCTCTCCTTGGCTCACACTGGAGTTTCTCCTTCCTTTTCTAGATTCTGGCCTCAAAGGCCTGATGCAAGTGAAATAGAAATCAGCTGACGATTGACGTTTACTAACTGACTTTCCTTTGTGGTAAGAAAAAGGTCAAAGACATTTACTTTTCTTTGATGGTCTGTTGTTATCTCACACTGAAAGGGTGTAGCATTCAAGCTACAACAGGGGAAGAATGGGTCTCAGAATATAAGAGCCCCAAGGAAAGAAACGGATAGCTCAGTATCCACTGTCCATCTCTCTTGCAAGACAGCCAAGGTTGGCTGAGCAGTTAGCATTTGCACAGCCCCAGGCTTCACCGGATGCAGAGAGGATGAGGTCTGTCCCCAGAAGGTTTAGGACTTGGTTGAGGAGACATGACACATTTACATGAAAAGTTAGACTCTGTGTGTTTAAGTGTCAAAATGAGCAATAAAGACGTGCCCGGGAAACAGAGTCACAGATGGAGAAACCAAATTTATGGTTACCAAGGGGGAACAGGGGGAGGGATAAATGGGAGATTGGGATTGACATATACACACCACTATATGTAAAATAGATAACTAATAAGGACCTACTGTGTAGCACAGGGAACCCTACTCAATACTCTGTAATGGCCTATATGGGAAAAGAATCTAAAAGAGAGTGGATACATGTATATGCATAACAAATTCACTTTGCCATACACATGAAACTAACACAACACTGTAACTCAACTATACTCCAATAAAAATTAACTAAAAATAAACTTTCTTTAGCACCTAGTACAGCCCAGCAACGTGGTGGATAGTAAAGGCAAGGCCCCTGCCTTCAAGGAGCAGACCGTACAGCAGAGACAAGGACGTCTGTGGGTATAACTTTGGAAAGGGTAGGTTTCTGGGTTCTCCCGAAGGCTTCCTGGAGGGGGTGGTCCCCAAGGCTGGCCTGCTGAGATGCTGAGTGGGTGATGCCAGCAGCAGTGGTAAGAGAAGGACGTGGAGGGAAAGCTCACGGTGGGTCATCGGGTGTCGGGGTCTGGGCTCCCGGCAGCTGCAGGTTGTATGCTGGGGAGGGGCGTTACCTGCCTGCAGCTTCCAGCAGGTCACCCTTCCTATCTGTGCAGAGAGCCTGTGTCACGTTCCCCGGGCTTGCAGACCAAATTCTCCAGAAAAAGTACCCGGCCAGGCAAGGCCAATGTGAATTTGACCTGCCTTTTATCAGAATGTGCCTGCCATTCTCAAGGTCAAAACTATTGCCCTCATGGTCCCTGTGTGTCACCTTATAAACAGTCTCCCCGGCCCCAGGGCTGCCAAAGTGCTGTGCAATGTTATTACACTGCTCTGAAACCCCATCCAATGATCCAGCCACGCTTTCCTCCTCCTGGCTGTGATGCTGCCTTCCCTGTTGCCCTGGTGCCTGATGCTGCTATATTAAAACAGGCACAGATGTCTGGCAGACACCGGAGCCTTGCAGGCTGCAACATGCCAGCCACATCAAAACACTGGTGGGTGAAGTACTGGGGCCTGCGAGGGGGCAAGGAGAGGTAGACTCCCTGCTCTGGAGATCAGAGCCATTCCCGGCATCAGTAAACTGGGGAAGATGCAGCCTGGGGGCAGAGGCAGGAGAGGGGGCCTTCCTGCCTCTGGATCCTTTGCTCAGGGAGCTTTCATACTCAGGCATTGTCGTTTGGGGGATGTGCTCAGGGGAGGGGAACTGAAAGCTGAGGATGCTGTAACTCACAACCCAGAGTGTCCAGGCTTTCCTCCACCTATATTTCCCTGCTATTACCCCTGAGCTTTTTGTTTTTTTAGATAGAGCCTTATTCCAATACAACGACCAGTCTGCCTCAGTTGAGCTACAGGGTCTAAGTAAAAGGAAACACTGCTTTGTCTCTGTTCCTGGGGCCAGAGTATAAAAAATGGAGCCCCTGTCTCCCCAGCCCAAGATGGTGACAGCAGTGGGAGTCAGCAAGAAGCCCTAAAGGGGCGGGGGAGGGCGCATCTGGGGAGTCAAGGGTCTGCTGAGCAAGATGAAGTCGCCCCTGTCCACATGCGGACGCTCCTCTGAGAGAGGGAACCTTGTCAGCTTGGGCTGTGTGGGGTTTGGGGCTTGTTCAGGAGGCAGCAAATACCCCCACGGTACAGAGTGAGGAAAGGGAACCGCCGCTCCCTCCCCACACCCTGTGCCCACCGCCTCCTGAGGACCTGAGGGTTTCTAAGAGAATGGAATTCAAAAGAGACAGGAGGAAGGGGAGGAGAAGATCCAGTCCGGCTGCTGTGTCTGGTCCTGGGGAGGATGCTGGTGCTTGGTATCCGTCCGCTTCTCAGGCTGGGGTAGCGGAGGTGCTGGAGAGGTGTCTGGTTCAGCAGGTGTCAACGGAAGCTCAGACTTGAGACAATGCCAAGACCACGGAAAGGAGCTCAGCAGGTTTGCTCTTCCCTGGAGGAGGAGAAAGCCTGCCCTGGAAACAGCTGGTGTGGCTTCAGCTCACTGGGAGAGGAGGCCCAACTATTTAACTTCTGATTTGCACCTGTCCCTTTATCATGCCCACTGATCTTCACGTTGAAAGGAGAACAAGTTTAAGAGGAAACGGAAGTTGAGGAGGAGAGGAGGCGGGTGTCACCCGAGAGTGAGATAGCGTCCCTGCTCTGACCAAGGTCAGGGTCCAGTCTCCGGAGGCCCTCACACCCCACTGGGAGAGGGACAGACTGGAGCCCTCCTATCCGTGTGTGCACAGGACTGCGCTCAGCCTCTGGGGTTTGTGTGATGTCCGGGTCAGTGTGTGGAGCTGGTGTCAAGGCCTTTTATGCTGTGGCCATTCCCAGCTGATGGCCCTCTCCTTCGTCTTACTCTGTCCAGCTAGGTCGAGCGGCACCTCGGAGGTGGGATTTGTCCTCATGGGCAGTTCTGCAGCTCTGTCCCTGATCCCTACCCAGATCCAGCCCATATTCTAAGCCTCAGGCTCCCCAGGATTGGCTGGGCTCAGAGGTCCCCAGACACAGTCCATTCCCAAGGCCCCATGTTTCTCCATCCTCCCGAGAGGGGCTCTGCCTACTCAGAACTCACTCCTCGACTCCCCTCTGGACTCTTACATGTACTTCAGCAGCTCACACAGGGGTGACTCTCTGACCTCTGATCCCTAGAGAAAAAGAATGCCTGATCCCCAGGGCGGACACACATGGCAAGCCTGGCACGGAACGTGGGTTCAGTATGGCGGGTCCTCCAGGGAAACAACATCCTTCACGTCTCTGTTTCTTTTTCAGGGCTAAAGGGAGACTGGGAGCCTGGCAGCATTTGGGAGGAATTTGCTGAATTATGGATAAAGAGGGAACAGATCAATTACTCACCATCCACTGAGTACAAGACGCAAGGCCCTAAGGAGGGAAGGAATTAAACACCCTTAGGAGTCTTACTAGTCTTCTCAAATGGCACGTTACCCATGCTTCCCATCTCGAGGTAGGATGACACCTATGGCATAGGGCAGACTTTCACAGGCAAGTTACCCCACATCTTGGAGCCTCCTTTCCTGTCTCTGTTACACAGAGATAGTAAACCCCCAGCCTAACAGGACTGACAGCTGAGGCCCTGGTCCTCAAACTTGATTGTGCATCGGAAGTGCCTGGGGCATGGGATCTGTTACATCCCAGCTCCCTGGGTCACTGCCCCTGCCGCCCAGATTCTGAGTCAGCAGGTCTGGGTTGCACCCGAGATTCTGCATTTCTCACATGTTCCCAGGCAATGCTGCTGGTGCAGGAGCCTCCCTTTGAGAACTGCTGAGCTCATGACCGTAAGTGCTGCTTACAGAGCATGAGGCTCCATTCAAACACTGTTACACACCTCCCTTTGCAAGGGTGTGATATTAGGCTTCAGCAACTAGAACTGGGGGGGCCTGGTACCCCCTCAGCAATGCAAACGAGCAGCCACCGTCACAGCTGATCTGGTCACGGCCTGAGCTCAGCACCCTTTCTTTCAGGTCCAGATGATGTAGCTGGAGACCTGGCACAGTAACACACTCTGAGAATTTGTCACCTCTGCTGGCTCCCCTGCCTGGCTGGGCGAGGGGACAGGGACACTGTGGCAGGGTCTGGTAGCTGCCCACACCCTCTGACCCATGACCTGTCAGGAGACTGCAGCCTTGCTCTCTGGAAATTCTGAAAGGGCCCTCAGCTACCCTGGATGCCCATGTGTGCACTGACTGCGCTGAGACCCAGGGAAGGAAAAAGAGCCACTGCTGATTCAGTGAAGTACATCTGGGCTCCCATGATGCGGCAGGAAAGCACTTCTCCAAAGGAAGGTGTCTGAGGCACCAAAATGGCAAAGGAAGGAAGTGGATTCTTGGAGATATGGGGCTGGCCAAAAAGTTTGTTCCGGGTTTCCTATAAGATGGTACGGGAAAAACCCAAACAAACTTTTTGGCCAACCCGATATGTTGAGGCACCAGAAAAGGCACTGTGTATCTCAGTCAGCATCGCTTGGCTTCCCAGATCCCAGCTCCACCAGAACCGGCTGAAGCTCAGAAGGCTGTGGACATGCTTTTTCCAGCCCCAGCTCCATCTAGACGTGGGAAGACCGAGAGTACACAGAAAGCTCCCCTGCCTACTGGTGAGCTGAGCACGGCGGGGTGGACGGGGGCAGCACGAAGGGGCCATCCTGCAGGGCGACTGAATCCCCGCCCCACACCTAGACCACCTTGGGAAGTGCCAATCCCAGTCTCCTCATGTGTCCAATGTGATGGCGCTCCTCTGTAGGGTCCTTGTGAGCTAGTATGTGGTGAGCACCTAGGACAGCGCCTGGCGTAGACTGGCCATTTGACTGTCACTTTTTATCCTTGTCCACAGTGTTGACACAGCTTCGGTCAAAGTGGGATTCTCACAAATGGGCAACTTTCATTCTCTCATACGCTCTATGGCCAGTGTATCACCCTGAGCATCAAACACTCCATTTCTAGTCATTGATCCAGAGAAATCATCTGAAACAGGAACAAAAATTCATTCTTGGCAAAGTGTATTGCCATTGGGTTTAAACTGGAAAATAAAAGAGGACAGTCTAAATGCTCCACGTTGAGAAACTCGTTCTGTCAATTACGATACACACACAGGACAGAATGTTCTGCAGTTACTGAAGGCATGGGTGGGAATTCTGAGCGACAGGAGGAAATGCTTACAGTATGATTTAATGGAAAGGAACAGGACTCTAAATATAAACTATGTTAAATATACAAAAAAAAGGCTTAGTAAAAGGAATGAAAGGATGGTGGCTTTTGGGTGGTTATGGGTGGGGGCTAGGTTATGGGAGTATTGTTTTCTTCTGATATACAGTTTTCACACACATCCACACCCACATATACATTCATGCACACACATGGCCTCCCGTGACCCGCAGCCCTGCCAGTGACGCCCCTGGGCTGACGCAGGGGCTCCTCTAAGGCACGGTCCCCAGCCTTCACTGGCGGGCCTGTGAGCATCTCTGGTTGGTGACAGTTATGTCCCAGCCAGGGCCAAGTATGTGGCTGGTGGGTAGGATCCAGGTATGATGGAGAAGACAGTTCTGTAAGGAGAAGCTGTGCCTCCCAGTGAGATTCGGAAGCCCAGGAAATGGGGCAGCAATGCTCTTTTCAGTCCTCATTTCAGGCTGGGGGACCAGCGTGGGGACCAAGAACTTGACCTCTCCAGCTTAGGGAACAGCAGTGGCCAGGGTTATAAAGCCTCTCCCTGGGAGCACCCTGGACATCTGGCTGCTATGACACTTTATCTGAAGAGAATGTCACCTCCTCCACAGCCCTGTGAAAGCAGGACCAGCCCCCTGCTAGATCTGTGTTTGTGCCTTTGTTTGTTCTCCCATTCACACCCCAAGGCTCTGCAGCTCCCCTGGCCTCCGCTTCTCCAGGGACCATATTGCCTGGGGCTCTCTTCCCACTGGAAACCCTCCTTTCTGGATATGGGTAATGATGTAATTGCCACCATTTGGGGGCTTGCTTTATAAGTACATGTATTGGTGCGATTTCTTACAAGAACCTCCGAGGTGGATGCTATAATGCCTATCGCTTTACAGTGGAGGAAACTGGAACTGGCCCAAGGTCACACAATGGTGACAGGAGAGACTGGGTTGGGGTCTGACCCAGAGAGGAGATGGCCGGCTATGAACCAGCAGGTGGGCCCCCCACCAGACACCACGTCTGCTGGTGCTTTGATCTTGGACTTCCCAGCCTCCAGAACTGTGAGAAATACACATCTGTTGTTTTAGCCCCCAGTCTGTGGTATTCATTATATCATCCAGAAAGGACTACTAAGGGCTGAAATAAGGGAGCCCTGCAGACATCGGAATGAGGAGTGTCCCAAGCAGACACCAGCCAGGCGATGTGTTCCTGGGTGACCCAGGGACCGTGTGGTTGCTGCAGAGTGAGTGAGGGGCAGAGTGTAGAAGGGGGGGTGATGGCACGACAGGCTGGACCCTACGGGCCTCTGCGAGGGATAGGAGGCCAGGGCGGGGGTCCAGCGGGAACTGTATGAACTGTGTGTGCTTGAGGCCTGTCACTCTGGCTGCTGTGCTGCCAGAGGACAGACCCTGGGTGAGGATGGGAGAGGTTACGACCATGGTCCAGGCAAGTGCTTGGACCAGAACCATGGTGGTACAGGTGATGAGGGACAGGGAGATTTTGGATATATCGGGACTGTGGGGCAACTTGGGCTTGCTGACGGATTAGATGTGGAGTGTGCAAATAAATAAAAAAAAAAAAATTAAAAGAGTCAAAGTTTGGGCCTGAGCAGGAAGGATGGAGTTGTGGTTCACTAGGAGGGGGGCCCGGGGGCAAGGTCTGGTGGGGGGCGACATCAGTGCTGGCTGAGGGTGTGTTATGCTCAGGGAGCCCGTTAGATGAGAAATGCACAAAGGTTAGTTTCGAAGACTAGTTAATAAATCTATTTTCTTTTTCTTTGCACAGAAGCTGGTAATCTAGGACCTACGTGGGAACAACTTTATATATGAATATTTTTTGTGCTTGGTTTACTTGGGTTGGTATGATACATTATAGTTAAGTTCCTTGAACACTGTGGATTCCCCTAATGTGTATGAATGACTGAGGCTTTGTAGATCAAGGGACGTTTCCTCCCTTGCTTGGGGAGAGCTCGGGGAGAGGGGAGGGCTGAGGGAGGGGTTGGGCGGAGGCAGAGGCAGTCTCCAGCATCTTGATGGTATTCACAGACCCCCGCGAGTGTGAATGAAGGAGAGGACCCAGAGCTGAGCCCTGGAGCTTGGACATGTGGAGCCCAGGATGAAGCAGGCAGCGAGCCAGGAGGAGCCCAGGGGGAGCGGTACCTGGGAAACAGGGCCACCCACCCCTGCAGCGGCTGGGCGGCCCCATCACAGCTTTCCTCCTGCTCTGTCTACAGCTGCCCGGTTCTCCCCGGGGCCTGTGTATGTACTAGACTCCACCTCGTCACACACTATATACATCACTGCTGAGACCTCGCCCCTCTCTCCTGCGTCATCAAATCGGCGCCCCCAGCAGATACCCCCTGAGCACGCTGTTCTCCAAAATGAAGAAAAGACAAACCTCCCTTCTTCGCACCCTGTCTCTCTCCCACTCCTGGCCCCTTTCTCTGCCCCCCTGTACAGCAAAGCTACTCAAAAGGATTTCTATACCTTCTTTCCATGTTTCAGGTACTTATTTTTTCAGTGAAATAAGCTGCCTTGATAATGTTGGTGCTTGGAGGGGTGAGTGGGGGAAGCAATTGGACAGAGAATTCAGGTTTGGGATCACACAAACAGGTGGGACCAGTCAGTGTGAGGATGTGTGTGTGTGTGTGAGAGAGAGAGTGGGGTGTGCTCCCAGCCATGGTCAGCTGTTTGAATTCAGGTACACAAGAAGGGGAACAGCTGTATTTATTGATCCAAGCCTGGGCCAGTAGGAGAAAAGGAGAAAAGGAGAAAAGGTTAAGAGAGTTCATTGGACATTCAACAGAAACCATCTGGGGATAGAGCAGTAAACAAAATAGCTGAAAGTTCTTGTCTTTCTGGAGTTTACATTCAAGGAGAAGGATACAGACAAGAAAAAGGAGAAATAAACAAGCTATGCAGTATACTAGATAGTGCAAAGACAGAAAACAAAGCAGAAGAGAGGAGGGGGCTGTGAGCGGGAGTTGCAAATTTAAATACTGTGGCCAGGGAAGGTGGCATTTGACTTAGCCCTGAAGGGGGTGAGGGAGGGAATATCTGGAAAAGAGTGTCCCCCACGGCGGGAACAGCAGGTGCAAAGGCCCTGGGGTGGAGCAGCCCCAGTGTATTTAAGGACCAGCCAGCAGGCCAGTGTGGCTGGAATGAAGTGAGCCCGGGGTGAGCTGTAGAAGATGCAGTCAGAGACTTAAATGCGGCTGGATCATGGGCCTTGAGAGCACTGGACGAGCTTTAGCTCTTATTCTAAAATAGACGGGGGCCATGGAAGGATTCTGAGCAGAAGAGTGACATGAACTGACCGTCATGCTGTCAGGTGCTCTGGCCGCTGTGCAGGGGAAGGGGACCAGCTGGGGTCCAAGGTACCATCCAGAGGAGAGAGGATGGTGGCTCGGACTTCAGTGGGAGAGACGAGAGGTGGTGGGTTTGGAATGTCTTTTCTAGGGACTCTGATGAGGGGCTGTGGAGTCTAAGATGCTCAGGGGAAGAAGTGAGGCGATGGAGGGTGGTGGACGGCAGGAAGCGGTCAGGTAGTGGATTCGCGGTGCCCACGCGGCTGAGGAATTGCCAGAGTGCAGATGTGAAGTCAGCAGGGGCCCGAGCTAGAAGTGCCAGGAGCTTTCGGGGAGCAGGGTGGTTGAAGTGAAGACGTTGGAAGTCTCCGGGCATGTCTCGTTCTGCTTACGACTGCAGGAGCAAGAGCTGATGCCCAAAGCGGGGAATTGAGGTAAGTGGTGTGTGTAGGGGTGACGGGATGCTGGAGGTGGTATCTGAGAGAGATGGAAGATGATTGCCTGGCGGTGGAGAGCATGATATGTGCATCAGGGAGAAAGGAATAACAGTTGTCTCCAAGTGGCCCATCTCCACGCTGTGCCTGGTGGCAAAGAGCGGGAGGGAAATGGTCACCACCTAAGAGGGCCAGCAGTGTCCTGAGAAGCCAGGCGTCTGCTGCAGGAGAGGGAAGGTGTGCTCAGTGGGGCTGGGGTGGGAGGCTGGGTGGTGCAGCCTGTGGTCCCCCTGGGCTGAGATGGCAGGGAGATGGCAGGTCTGGGGATGGGGGTGACCGAAAGGCCTGGGGGTCCAGGCGTCCTTGGTATCTGTGTGCCCTTCTCCCTTCCCTGTAGCTTTTCTCTTCCGCATCATTCAGTCCCCAGGACGGACCCTCTCGGGATTCAAGGGCTAATAGCACTGGCGTCAAGTCCACGGGGCCTGAGAATCTGGGTTGTCTGCCCCTTCCCATTGCCTCGGTGTTGGGGACCAGCCAGCCACATCGAGTCCACGTCCCACTGCCCGACGTTTCAGAATCTCTGGACTCTCCCAGCCCTCATTTCAGGTAAAAATCCTCTAAATTTGTCTTTTATTGTTGTTTCTTGTGTGTAGTGAGCCAGCTGGCCAGAAGGAAGCTCCTGAGAGGTGGAGGTGCTGCACCATGCTATAGATGCTCCTGCTTTGTCATG